ACTGCCCACCTCCCGCTGGTCACGCTCCAGCCATTGCCTGGTTGTCACAGTGAGGCACAGTATGGCATTGGCAAATGTGAGGCCTGGGCCATGAACAGCCTTCCACAAGTCTCAGATAAGAAGGAAACGGTTGCATCCCCATAGGCTTTTTCGGTGCAGCACGTTTGCTGCTCTCTGCGAAGTCTTGCACAGATTTATTTCATGCGCCCCCAACAAGTCACTGCAGGTGCTCAATACCACCCCGAGGTACCGATATTCAATGGCCCACTGTATCTGATCTCCTCCTGGCAGGTATATGTTGGCATTAGGGTGGGAGCCTAACAACTGTAATGCAGCAGACTTCTTTGCCTCGAAGGCCAGGTCCAGCTGGTACAGATGGTTCGCAGCGAGGGTGACCAGTTGTTCCAGGTCCGTTGAGCTTTCGGCTAGCAGGACCAGGTCGTCAGCATAGACTACCTGGCAGCTTCCAAGTCACAGGCATTCCATCGTACAGGTGGGTGAATAAGAAGCCGATACCAGATGCTAGGAGCATGTGTTCCAGTCCAGAAACAAATCATGTATAGCAGGGGTGAGAGGGGACAGCCCTGCTTAAGTCCTCGTGTTACCATTACTTGTCGGGACTGGGCTCCGTCAAAGCCCACTATAACTGAATTATCTTTGTACAACCGACGCATTAGGCTGACCCCCCCCCCCCCCCCCCCCTCTGACATTCCGCCATCCGCTGGAATAGGGATTCATGTGGGACACTGTCATATGCCTTAGCTACGTCAAGAAAGCAACCATACAGGTTTCTGGACTCCTTGTGAGCTACTGCTATGGTTTGTATCAGCACGAGGAGGTTGTCTTCCAGGCGTCGGTCAGCTCGGAACCCGTTCTGCTAGTCTGTGAGCACGTTGTTGTTCTGTGCCCACCCACTCATCCAGGCCTTCAATACCTGTGCAAAGACATGGTGTAGGACGCTTGTTACAGTCAAAGGCCTGTAGTCTCGTAGAAGCCCAGCGTCTCCACCTTTCTTTCTCACCAGGCACACCCTTCCTGTTCGCCAGGCTGTAGGGACTGTGTCACCCGCCACGATGTCAGAGAAGATGTTGGCAAGATGATCTCGGGCAGCATCCCCCAGGTGTTTTACAACACCGGCGGGTATGCCATCGAGTCCTTTCGCTGTGTGTGCATAGATGAGTGTGATTGCCCTGTCCACCGTTCTTTGTGTCACTTGCCATTTCATGATCTCATCTTCGGGGGCAGCGGATTTCTGCTTCATTCTCCTCTGCAGACATGCATGCTGGCTGCGCGGGTTAGTACAGACGATGCATATGTTCTGTGAGATGTTACAAAGATCAAAGACGGCCAAATCCGTCTCCTCGTTTCGAATCCGTGGCATGGCTGCCCTCCTGTCAAGCGATGACACATATGTCCGAAACCGCCGGGAACCATTTCGCCTGTCTTCGCCTGGCTTTCAGATGATTGCCATTGTGCTCGGCAATCTTGCGTTGTACTATTGCTTGCATAGCTCTTTTGCACTCCAGGTACCTCTGCTATAGCTCTGCACATTCGTGTGGAAAGAGTGTCCCTACCGCTTTTCTGTGTAGGTGATTCACCTCCCGTTGAGCACTTAGTGCCACTTTGATCTCCTTGTCCCACCATTGCTTCCGACGCACCCCTCCACAGGAGTTAACACATACTTTATGTGCTTCCATTATCTGTTGCAGAGCTTCTACATATTGGTCATAGAAAGGTGACTCCAGATTTATGAGCCTGCCTTCAAACTCTTGGGCGATGTCTTAATATGTCTCTTCCGGTAGGTAACGTGTGGCAGACTCACGATAGTCTGTCCGTTTTTGGCGCCACGAGGAAGTCGAGAAGGTCAATTTAATTCGGTTATGATCACTTCCCACACTGAACTTCCCATCCCTGTCTATTGTGATTGATGTAGTGTGGCAGGACAGCTTTGGTGACATAAATACATAGTCGATGCATGAATAGCCGTTCCTAGCACACCATGTGAATTCACCTTTGCAGTCAGAGCGAAGGTTGGCTATTTCCAAGTTTAGTTCACGTGCTGTCAGGTCCACCAGGCTTCCATTAAAGTCCTGGAACCTGTCCAGTGCCTGCAGGTGACCATTGAAGTCGCCCATGAGTAAAACTTCTCTGTCAGCTGCCCATAGTTGTACTACATTCATTGACACACATTTCATAACTCGAGCATTTCCATTATGTTGGACATTGCTCACTGCGAGGTAGACCACACCTACTATCACAAGAATCCCTAGGATACTACCATGGAGCCAGATGTGTTCAGTGCGTGGGCAGGTCAATCTTTTCCACATCGCTCCGGACCGCCACAGGATACCTATTCCCCCGCCTTTGCATGTATTCCCTTCGCGGTTGGAGCCGGACCATTCCCAGTTTGGATGTACAGGGGTTCCTCCAGCCCACAAAAGTGCATCTCTGTTAGCACATAAAGTTCCATTCTTTCACTCTCTAGCATTGCATATAGCTCTTCCCACTTGCTCGGCTTTCTTGCGCCATGTACATTCAGAGGACCCACGCTGGTTTCCCTTACACGTAGGCCACGGTGGTGGCGACGACGGTGTACATGTTTTATTTCTGACTGGAGGGACGAGGAGGAGCGTCTCCACGCGGAGAGAAGCAGATCGGCATTTGAGAGAAAACCAACATTCCATGGCAGCTTCTTTTTTTTTTCTCTCTTTGCACGCGTCGTTGAAAGGAGAAGGGTTACGTGGCAGGGGCGGGAAAGGGCGAAGCGTGGCATCGACGCGTGAGAGACCCCCCCTCAAGGTGCAGAGCCGTGCTCCCGCAAGGGGCAAGGGCTGCAGAAGATAGTGCGTTTTTCCTTTCCTTCAATCACACATTCATTTAACGCAGCGACAACTTCCTTTTTTTTTTCTCGCTCTGTTCGCGCGCGATGTTGGAAGGAGAAGGGTCTTTACGTGGTAGGCACGGAAAAGGGAGAGGCGTGACACGGGCACGTCGCAGATCGGCATTTGAGAGAGAGAAAACATTCCACCAGAGCCTTTTCTTTCCTTTTCATTTCCTTCGCGCGCAGTGTTGAGGTATCGCAGGTGCCGCCGCAGGATTGGGCGGGATGCTGAGAGCATTTTCGAAGCACGGTACCTATGTTCGAATTAACCGTCGCAAGTGCTTGCGCGTTCGAATTACCGGGTGTTTTTACCCATCGGAATACACATAGCTTTGACGGCACCCCATCGCGAGTTCGAATTAAGCGTGTTCAAATTAATGAGATTCGACTGTATATTTCATGAGCTATATTGTTTGAAGGTGCTGTATTCTTTATATGTGTTACCAGCATCCTATTGGGTCATTTAGCATGCTACCTTAGTTATTCCTAAATCAAGCTATCAAGTTTGTCATTATGCAAAATGTTAATAAATATCTGAGTACATTTGCATGGCAGCATGTACTGTGTTCGTGTGTTCTGAGGATGGCTCTCTTTTAGATCCCACATCTGTACATTTGTGCCCGGTTCATGAAATGAAAAAATACAAGAGAATGTGAGGGTGCTATCACCTCCTGTGAAGTTGCTCGCATCTTCTGGCTCACGCATGTTTCACAGATTAGCCGTGGTTAGTTTACCACCTGCCAAGCGAGAGGTTGCACTGTGGTCTTGCAGTTTAGAATTAGCACGGTGGCACATTTTTGGTGGCAGAGAGGCAAGTGCCTTTGATGTTGGCAGCATGTGGCAAAAAACTCCTCCTATAGTGAATCCATGGGGGATGACGCTGCAGGTCATTTCCTGTGAATCTCTCATGGTGAGTCAAACATCGGCAACACTGCAATCGCAGTACCTTGTGCTCGTTATGTTGTTTGTGCATTGTAGTGGCATATTGTATAAAACATTATTGGTATATCACTTGTGATGTATTGGATTCGGCTGGCGATATCGTTGTGATGTAAAAGCAGTGAATAAATGTACACGTGCTGGTTGCCCGATGGTGTGACTGTCTCCATGTGTTCCAAGAGCACAATACATTTTGAGACCTCACAAGGGCAAAAGAGATGAACCTACATTCATTCACACAAGTAGTGTGCATGCATAGAGCTCTAATATTATGCACACAATAGTCTATATTACATAAAAATAGACATTTTTACTGTCCCATAAAGTTTTCTAGTGCTCGCAATCATAAGTTATCCATAAAGCGTGCACAAAGTGGCGCATAGCATCAGGCTTTTTACAGTTGCCACTCCAGTGCTTGCAACTCCACACCTTCCCCAAAGCACGCTGACACATACATCACATTTATTTTCAGGTGAATAATGAGTATAATCAACCCCAATTTTCCTACTAGAACTACTACATTAAAAATTTTATGCTTGAACAGACAGCACAATGGAAAAAAAAAAACTGGCAGCATCCTCCTCACTGCCAAAAGTCAACAAAAGTGTGGTATACCATGATCTTCAACAGACGTGACATAGCCTTGCACAGATAAGCAATGGACTAAATGAAATGGTGGGCAGCAAGTAAATGCAACGCTTTCATGCTGCTTCTCGAGAGTCCGAGCCTGTGCATGACCTTCCCAGATTCGTCTCGCGACACAAACAAAATCAGCTCCAAAGTGGGTGCTTCACGCAGGAGAGACATGGTGTGTTTCGCATCATGCAAGTGAATAATTTCAATTAGTGATATTAAGCCCTTATGCATACTGGTAACACGCATGTTTGCGTTTCCGATTTTAGGATGATGTCATGGCTGATTTCTGCGGAGACACTACGTAATGGACAAAGCTTTCATCAAGAATGTCGAATATTTACTCTGTAATATGTCAAGCATTTAGAAAAAATTAGCGAACTATTGCAGTCTTGTTTGAGTGAAATTCATAGATACAGGCATCTGAATTCTGCGGAATGACCTTCTGTCAATGTGCACGCGAAATTTCTTGAATTGGGGTCATGCAGAAACACTGATAATACCTGGCCCACAAACAGCTCCACTCGAACGGTTTATAGACACTCACCGAAGCAAGGTGTGCATTTCAGAGGAGCCAGTGACTCACAGCGTAGAGGCTCCAAATGCATGGGCAGTGAAGGCTCTTCTACGGCCAGTGCAACGAATGGGTGTTGTAGCAGTTCTCGAGCCGATGGCCTGCAAATTTAGTTCGGCAAGTGATACTCATCTATATATTGAGATACACTTATTTCACCTTGCTCTGGGGAACACTTTCAAACACGAGGAGATGAAGGACTTGAGAAGAGGGTCCAGCTCCTGTAGAAAGTTATTGCCAAATATCTTTGTGAGACGCATGCAAAATTTTTTAATTGAGTGGAAAACTTGTGCTTTATTATAACTGTAAACTGTCTTCTGCTATAAAAAATTTATGCTCAGCAAATGAACCTCAACAGCAGAAGAACCCAAGATAAAATAACCTGTTATATGTTAAGAACTCTCTGTAAGCATACTTTTAACTCGCTTCAGCCTGTCTCACACAATTGCAACAAAAGACAATGTTTGCAAAAGTGTTGAAATGAACACCCTGAAAATGAGTCAAATAAAATCTCATGCAGTAGAATAAATTCACATGATCTATAAAAACTTATTCTTTCATGGCTGACATACCTCAAGTTTGCTGCTCAGTGGGTCAGATTCTGCCAAAAGAAGCACGACATCTCCATCTGGCAAAAACAATAGTGTGCCATTATGTCACAGCCTTTTCTGGTGACGCAAGCGAATCACTACCTTCTTTGGTGCAGGTCAGCAGCTTTGTAAAAATCTGCTCAAGGCTTGCTCCTTTCCATACCTCTTTGCCCTAACATGTAAAAAAAAAAAAAAGGCTGTTTTTCAGTACTAAGTTAAAACAACAAGATCAGAACAAGATAGTCAGGAGTTCCATCATGCAGATTTAGCATTACAGCAAAATGTTCGCAAAAAATCAATGCTTATATAAAATGGCTGACCATAAATGATACATACAGCATTCAGCTAAGCAGAGATCGTAAGAAAAGAAATGCAGATCATTTTGCATTTGAATGTTTATTCTGTCCACTTGAGTTTTACCCGAGTAGCTCATGAGAGCATCAACATTCTCTTACAATAATGTTACAAAATACAACACCTTGTGCTTCTTTTATAAAGAACTATACCCAATTTTACAATGTTCCTGCCCCATAATAATGGCTACAACAATACATACTGGCAAGTTGGGCAGGTTGTTAAGAATGCAAGACTTCATATGAGTAGTGCAAAGGAGACATAAGCAGCACAAGCGCTCACTTGAAACCACATCTATTTGGGAACACCCACAAATCTATACTACTAACTCGAATCAAATTGCAACAATCTCATACATCATGCTCATTGCTTGACAGTACTATAAAACTGCCAGGCCTGTGCACAATGCCCAGCCCAGTCACAGCAAAAGTTGGAAAAGTGGCCTTTCATAGCCTTTTTTAAACACTCTTTGGGCAACTGCAACAAGCACACTGCCAGGGTTCATAAGGACCAAACTAGAATTTGCTTCCGTCATTTGGAGCCCCGATCAAGATTACCTCATTTTTTCCCTTGAGTTAATACAGAATCGTGCTGTCCGGTTCATATCATCTCAGTACAATAAATATGCCAGCATCACTCAGCTCATATCATCTCTAGAGCTTACTCCTTTAGTTGTTTGCAGAAAAACCTTGCATATCAATTTGTTTCACAAACTATACCCCAACTTTTCTCACCTGCATGGCACTCTACTCATTCTACCATATCGGACCTTTCCTCGACTATTCAACTCTAAAAGTGTTCAACGTCTTCATGGATCGACTCGAGCCTTTAACAAATGATCCCTGCCTTCAGCAAGTGAACACTGCGACAGTCTTCCGCAATATGTTGTTCAAGAGCTCGACCCAGACAAATTTAAAGTGTTCTTGTCTTCTGTTTTTAGTTAAGTCTCCCACCATCTAGTTTATCAATAGGCTTCTTCTCAATAAAGCTTTTTTTTCTTTTTTTTAAGGTACTCAATGGTGTTCACGTCCAACTTACCTACCACATGTACTAGTTACTACACTATTCCAATTAACTCTGCCTTTTTGTTTCAGCACTATCAGTTACTGTATAATTAATTTGCTTGTTACTTACTATTCAAACACTGCATTTGTCTCATGACATATCTCTGATATTATCCCCCCTTATATATTGCCTTAAATAGGCCTTTAAGAGAGAATAAATGATGATGATGATGGTGGGAGAAGTGAACGAAGTTTCATCATGGAAGACTTGTCTAGGAAGCTGCAAACCGCTATGGTAGCCGAAGAGCAGCTCACCATCTCGAGATTTGGTAACGTTCCAGCATCTTGCAAATATCGCAGAGAACAAGTCATGCTGCGTAATCAGTACAATTCAAACTCACTTGAAATAGAAGCCGTAGAAGTTCTACAAATATGCAATGACTTGTCAACATTGACCGAGGCAGTTGTACAAGAAAAGGTGAAAGACAATGACTTTCGTTTGGCTGATGCTACTGTGTTTCAAGTCTCACTTGAGCCTGAAATTGGCATGCTTATAGGAGCAGACTATTACTGGAAAGCTGCTAACGAAAACATTAAGCGACTGGACCACTCCTTGACTGCCATGAAAACAAGGATGGTATGGACAGTACATGGGAATACGAGAAGTTTTCCAAAGTTCAACAGGAAAGAAACCTTAAGAACCTTTCACATATGCCTGACGAAAACCAACGTTTCTCAGCAACTGAAGTCTTTCTAGGAAGTCGAGATCTAAGAACGGCCGATGAAGACAGGCTTTCGAAAGATGACAAAAACGGCTCCATTGAATGAACTCTTAGAAACAGCAAACACTATCAAGTTGAACTGCCTCGACACAGCAACTGTTCCAGTATTGAAGACAACAGGAGTGCAGCTTTGAAAAGGCTGCAGTGATGCTAAGCATTAGTGGCTACTAGTGCTGAAAAGAGTAGTACATTCAAGAAGCTCACGCCTATAACACTAAAAGGACAGATTCAAGAAAGATCAAAGACATCGAAGTAAATGAATTAAAGTGAACAGGGCAAGTGCTTAAAAGGGACAAGTCGCAGAAGTATAAATGGGCAGCAACGGCAAAGTTTACTCGTGCGAAGCGCACACTTCAGACGGCAGCCTGTAGCGGGGAACCATACAAATATTGTATCACCTGGAATCAGCTGCACAAGATTCAATGTTTAAAAACAATTGTTTTGAAGGAAGTGAAACCATACAAATTGTTCAGCCGGGAACTGTTAAATATTATTTTGGGAGAGTGCTGAAGAAAAATAAGAGGGCCAGAGCATGCCCTGAGCGTGCGCCTGCACTCAATCTTTCTTTTCACTTTCCACCCAGCGTCTAATAAACAAGACGTTCTCTACTTCTGCTTCGCTTCTTGATTTTCATCAACATGAAGAGGATCGATTGAAGCTGGCTGATGGTTTAGCTAGAAATGCAGAGTGCAGTGAAGTCGGCACGATTATTGGCTAGACCAGTATTGGCAACATTTTCAAAAATTGTTGACAGGGCATAGATGATTGACAAGCGGTGTAAGGTGGTATTTAAGAGATAGAAGTTAACTGTGGCAGAAACTATATTCGGATGAACAGTGCAAGGTCAAGCTAACATGTTCACAACAACGAAGCAGAAGTCAAAAGTTATGGTGCTTCACATCGGAACAGAAGGGTGACATGATGGCCAAACAGCGACGCACACCAGAAGAGGTCGTACAGAATAAGATGATTCCCATGAAGACCATGAGGTAGCTTCGTAATTATGCAAATGTTTCTGAAAACAGGTGACCTCTGATAAGACACAAAGGCCGCATGATGCGAAGTGGACCAACATACAGCAAAAAGCCAGCCTGATGTGCAACCAAATGTGACGAGGAAAGTTATAGGGAACGGAGTCTCACCAGAACAAGTAATTCAGACAACCACAGTGGAAGTGAAGGAAGTACTTATCAGCGGGCTGTCGACTGATGCGCACAGTGGACCAAATGAGCCTACACCTACTGCAATGGCTGTCATAATGGGTGAAAAATAATGGCTGAAAAATAATGGCTGAAAGGCTATACCAAAAGTGAACAAGACAGCATTGAAGGAATTTAGAACAGTAATCAAATAATACGGAAGGACTGGTGTAAAATTTATAACGAAAAATATGGGAAAGAATTAATACAGCAAGCTAACACCAATCAGCAAGCTATGCCAGTACACCGAGAAGACGTCATTCTCATTGGTGCATGCCGTCCTTGACCCTAGTGTAACCTAGCTAAGGTCAAGAATCTAGATGGGAGCCGACAGATGGAAACACGTAGTGGGATAATCAGGGTGAACAGTGGAAGTGCCTCAGACAGGCTGGCCCACGTTTTGATAGGAGGACCTATGTTTGTCAAAGCACCTTGTCATCCTTGGCGTGTTAGTTTTAAGGGGGATGATGATGATGATGATGATGGTAGAATTGTGGCGCAAGGGCAACTCAGGCCAAAGAGTGCCAAACACACGATTTTTGGTCGATTTCATTAAAAAAAGTCTACTCAGGGTGGCAAGAATAAAAGAGTAGTGTATAGGACTTAAACTTAGGTGTAGTGACTATGTGTGATGGGTTTAAAACGGGCTATGCTTATGGGTTTTACAAAGTCATGCCGTGTCATCAAAAGTTCTTGTCAAGACAAGGAGTGCGTGCTGCATGACATTTGATAAAAAAGTCTCAGGATTGAGAGGAGGCTGAGATTAGTGAGAATATGTTATGGAATGTGGGAAGCCTACACTAGCTAAAAACTTTAAGACTACTTTTGGGGGAAACAAGGGATCGTCTCTAAGAAAAAATCGTGGATGAGGCGGAATGTGACAATTGTACAACTTTGGAAAGTGACACAGTCTTTCTGGTTCGAGGTACGGACAGGTAATTAGAACGTGAACGACAGACAGCTCATCACCACATTTTGCACAATGTGGTGCTGGAGAGTTGTTTAAAAGGTGCGAGTGTGTTGCATGTGTATGACCAATCCTGAGTCTGCACAACCTCTTGGTGCCTGTTACGTTTTTCAGTCACATATCTTCCTATTCTTGGCTTTACTAAAGGATGTTTGTTTGCTATTGCTGCGTTCCATTCTTCTTGCCATTGTCTACGCATTCGGGATCTGATGAGTGGCCTCAGGTCCTCATACGAGATGGTGTCTACGTCAACTGATGGGCGGAGTGCTGCTGACTTTGCAAGTTTGTCCGCTATCTCATTGCCAGCAATGTTGCAGTACCCCGGAATCCAGCATAGTGTGATTTTGAGCTTGGATTTGCGGGCTGACATGATGCATTTTAGAAGTGTATTAGTAACTGGGTTTTTGAGTATCTTAGTGGAGGACAGCGCAGTCACAGCACTGATAGAATCGGTGTATATGATCGAGGCTGGCTCTTTCTCCTTTAAAATGTGCGTTACGGCTAAAAGTATGCCATAGCATTCTGCAGTAAATATACTGGTATGTTCGTTCATTGTTCTAGATTCAGAGAAAGCGGGACCGTGTGCCGCACATGCGACTGCGGAGGACTTGGAGGCATCAGTATAATATTCAGCACACCTGTATTTGGCCTGCAGATACTTGAAGTGTTGATCGATCGCGACTGGGTGGCCATTTTTTCCTACCTCTAGGAATGACAAGTCACAATCGATAGCCTGCATTTCCCATGGCACAACGGTGTCCTTGTGAGAGGTTAGTTGAAGACTGGAGACCGGCATGTGCATATTTCCAAGGTGTGAGGCCACTCTGAGGGGATACGGTGGCGTAGCTGATGGTCGCCTCAAAAAC